GTGTAATACTGGGAGAATATAGTCTGGTCAGATGAGACCAACATTGAACTGTTTGGATGCCAGAATATACTCCTGATCAAAATCTTAAAACCAGTCAAAAAAGTTGCGTGTTCGATATGTTTTCCCTGTGCCATTCCACATTATTACAAATAACTTCATTTCTGGACATTTATGGTTTGATTCCTTTGTATGTATGGATCACTTGGGTTGTTACCAACATCTGGTGAAAATTTCATGTCATTAGCACCTCTAGTAATATATTTACTGAGAAAAAATGGTGACGTGTTCAATACTTATTTTACCCGCTGTAGCTGTTCTAGCATCAATGTGTTTGGCCTTTATCAGGATTTTGAATTTGTCAATCCCAATTGAGTATTTTGAGAAGCTGCCTGAAAAGATTTAATTGTTCTAGAAAACACAAACACTTATTGGTTTTATTTCTACTGGTGGAAAATGATTCAAGAAATATGTTCAAYGCAGATGCATTCAGTCTGTTGAGCAGTAACGTCCAGGAAAGCTATTTTTGCTTGACCTATTACACATCCAAACATCTCGGCATGTGCATCGTCACGCTAAATTCTTTTCAAATAGCACAGGGGTGAAATGTTTTAAGGTAAACATTTCTTTTAAAAGTGTAAAACATTAAAAATGGTAGATTGGGCACGTTCAAATATAAGATATATTTAAAGTCAATTTAATAAAAGTGGGACATTCACGGTCGTTCACATTGTCATTTTTTGTGTGTTAGCAAAATGTGAAATATTTTTTGCTGATTAAACAAAAAAACAAACAAACTGAAACTAGACAAAATAGCTTCAAAAGTAGCTGAAGTAAGCACAAAGACATATAAATAGCTTATTTGCTAAATTTAGCAGTAAGAAGCTGAAATCATCACAAAAATGTGTGTTTAGCTGAAAAATCCTTGAATTAGCAAAAAGTAGCTAAAACACAGAAAACAGCTGAAGTTAGCTAGAATAAATTGAAAGGAACAAAAAGTGGAGATTAGCAGAAAAATTGAAATAAAAGGTCAAAATGATAGCTAAAAAACTTTTTAAAAGCTTAAATCAGTTAAAGAGAAACCAACGGAAGGTGAAATTAGCACAAAGTAACAAAACAAGCAGATCTAGAACAAAATGTAAAAAATGAAGTAAAAAATTAAGACTATTTTGAAGGTTTATAAGGATGGTGAAAACATTCGGTTTCAATGAAGAAAAGCATGCTCGAAAAAGCTAAATATTTGAAAAAACTCTAAATTGCTGAAAAACAACAAGTCGTAGATGGAATGTCCTGAAGGAGTGGAATGTTTTGAAATATAAATTGTTGAAAAAGCACAAAAAACACAGTACAAGATACGTGCCAAAAAACATAAGGAAAAAATTGAAGTTTTCCATTTTGCAAATGGAAACACAAAAAAAGACACTTTTTCTTAATTTGTTTAAACATAGATAAACTAATCTGAAACACATCTTACTGCATTTTTAGTTTTTTTTTTTGTCATCTTTTTGAAAGATGGTGATGTTGGAGATGGACAAGAACTGTGTAGGAAGAGAACAGAGGAATCACAATGGACAACAGTTTTGCAGTCTGGGAGCCGGAGTAAAGATTTAACTGCAAAATCATGTTTTGTTAGTTTGGTTTGCACACTAACAACACAACTATCCAAGCTATAATCCTTGAGCCAACAAACTCTTTATTAAGAAAGAATAGTTTAGGTGAACATACAGTAAGCAAAAAGCAGAAAGCAAAAAACAAAAATTTTTGCAAGGTAATGGTTTCCCTGTTAAATATTGACATTTTCACAGGTTAACATATTCCACGTTCTATAACTGTTTAATAGAAGACTTATGAACCTCAAACACCGTGTGTTAAAAGGGAAATTGCAAAGTTTAATAAAATAGAGTAAAAATACTTTATTTTTTTCAAGCAATAAAGTGTATCAGTTAAAACACTTACAGCATTGATTACACCTACAACCAAAATGATTCATTCAGGAGCAGAATGATTTTTGGGCTGAGCTTTACCTTAGCAGATTGGGAAACAATAGTCATGGTTAAAGGCTAAGCCATAGGGGTTCCTTCTCATCTGCTCTCCTGCTGAATGTCACCTCTACTAAAACAGAATCAAATAAAAGCCTCTTCTGTGATGTTGCATGAGCAAAGTGAGGGATTTATTTAAAAAAGGGCCAACCAAATTTTGATTATTTATGGCAAACAAACATTAAGTGAATAGCACATGGAAACTTTTTTATCCTAAAGTCTGTTATCAGCAGAGTCACTCATGCCAATCCATCCATTCTTCTATTGCACATGATAAATTTAAACTTTTTACATAAAGGTTAGCCAAGTCATTCAGGTTTAAAAAAGGTTAAGACAGGGTCACAAATTTCTGTTCAGACCAAATCTTTCCCTGAGAATATAGACTGATGGTTGTTTGTGTTATTGGCATGTGATTTATTTTTACAGTGACATTTTTTTAATAATACATGTCTTATATACTTTAGTTTCTCAATGCAACAAGATCTCAATACCTTTAAATGCTTTTTGTCCATTGGTGTTTAGTGTTTTTAAATTAAGTATCTGATTGCATCAATATGTTTAAATTAAGATAAGATAAATTTAGGTTGTCACAGCAGGAAGTGGACAGTGCAGAAATCAGAGCAGTAGGTACAAAACAGTAAAAAAGAATAATAAAAGACAGAAATTATTATTATCCTTTAGTTCACATTTTACAAGAATAAACTCAGGCCCTGCAAATAATCATATGCGAGCTCTAAATTAGAATATGTGCACAATTAAATGACTGGTCT